GTCCCCTCTTCCAAACATTCGAAGCCCTGGCTTCAAAGCCCTCTCATTGCGTTTTATTACGAATTTTACCGAAACCACGCCGCTTTTACAGTGCCTCCTTGGCACCCTCTTATTTTATCTTGCTTAATTCTCCGTTTTGCAGCGGGAATAACAGAGACCTCCATCTAGTAAGGCTAACTCCAGCGTCACAGTGAAGTAGTGACCAAGCTGGATTCCAGAGGCCTTTCCTCCCCACTTCCACCTTGAATTCCAATTTAAAATTCAATCCATGTGCAGAGAATGGACAGAGGGCCAAAATTTTTACTGAGTTGCCCACGTATAAAGTAGGGCTAAGTACTGTCTCAAATTATTTCATTTACTTTAAAAGGAAATCAGATTTGAGTGAGATAATGTCATTTTTTTATCTTGTTTCAGAGCCACCAGCTATTACAGAAGAGGAGTTTGTAAGTACAATTTAGAGGGCTGCTTTTTTTTTTCTTGGCTTTTTCTTTTTTTTAACAGCAAATTATCATAGAAAAAAGCTGTGCATTTTCTTTTCTTCTTTTTGCCAAATGGGTATAAATAGAAGCTTTCGTTTCATAACAGTGGTGCTGAGTACAAGGCCTTCTTATATTTTTTAACAGGTGCATTTTTAAGAAAGGGCCAATTGATTTTTATGGTGGATGCTGTTCATTGTTAAAGTTCTTTTACATAAATCGTCTCATTTAATTTTGCTGAACTTTTAAATGACTCCTTGGGAGGTAGATTTTATCTCCATAGTTTTATTGTGATGTGGCTGTGCAGTTCCTGGTTACAGTAAACAGTAGTAGGTGGAATTGATTGATAATAAGTGGTCAATTTATAGGCATAATTCCTTTAAAAGTGTACTGAACTTTGTTCTCAGGTCAGACTTCTGGACAGCTGAGTAATAGTAAGTACTTTACTTTGCTGAGTACATTATATACATTTTCGTGTAGGTGAGCGCTGCATCTAGGGTGGTAGCTTCAACTATAATTCCCATTGTGTGTTTAAGGAACTTCCCAAGGTAATAATACACTTAGATAGGAAGGAGTGGAGCCTGATTTCTACTCAGGTTTGATTCCAAGAGCTCTGACCACTTCTCTAGATTATTTGCTCATGTCCTACAGCACTTAATTTCTCTTGCTGGTCGATTATCTTATTTGCTTTGGCTTTTTATTCAACAAACGTGAGTGCCTCTGTATTCACAGTGCAGTGCTCCATGCTGAGGATAAGTCTCAACAAGTTCACTGTCTAGGAGGGGCTACGAGAGGAGAGGGTCTCTGCTAGCTGAATCTGCTAGCACTTTCCACTTTCACCCTTTGGTCCACCACTGAGAGAGGGGGACCAAGACAGAGGCACAGAGAGCCAGTCAGAAACTCCACCTGTCTTCCTGTTGCCTTGGTATAACACTGTGCAGTGGTAAACTTCTTTAAACTGCTTCCTGAGCTGTTCCTCATCCCAGCCAGGAGTAAGCGTTTCTGGGGGCAATCCTTTCCCATGCAACGCCAGCATAAACTCTCTAAAGAGCACTTAGCAATATTATACTTAACACTTAAGCTGTCTGCTAACCTCCCCAGGTCTTTTCCCAGTTTGTGGGAACTCATAGCCTTGAAGACTATTAGCTACTCCTCTTTTTCTTGGTTTGTTTGATGCCACTCTCCCCTAGTTCTCCTGTCTCTCATTTTGAAGTCCCCCTTTCTGGCTTCTCTTTTTCCTTGCCCACAAAAGTGTTGACCTTCTTCAGGATTCTCTGGGGGCACTCCTCTTCTCCTCCTATAGCTTCAGCTACCCTTATGTCCCAGACTCCCACCCAGCGCCGCACACCTCCAGCCCACACACATCTTCTGATGCCAGAATTCTGTATCTGTTGGGTTGTTGGGCACCTTCATGATCTGGATGTCCCTGAGTCATGTCAGTAGTCTACACTGAACTAACGCCCATCCCTTCTCCTTCATTCTGTCTTTCTTCCTCTTTTATAATTTTGGTTAGTGGTGTCAGTGGCCAGTCACCTAAGCCAGAACCTTTCTTCCCTTTTCTTCACCTGCCACCTGCAGTCATTTACCAAGTTCCTTTCATAGCCAGATCTTTTTCTTCATCCTGTGCAGCTCCTGTCTTATTCAAGCCCTCATCCCTGAGCGTGGACTTTGGCAGTAGTCCTAACTGATTATCACTGCCTCCAATACTCTCTCTGCCGACTTCAATTTCTCTTTGCCTGAGGCATAAAGTGCAAACTCCTGTGCATCAACTATGCGAATTACCTGCTGTGGCTTTGCTCTGCCTTTAGATTTTTTTTTTCCTTTCTCCCCTCACTCCTGCCGTAGCTAACAGATTGCTATTAACTCTAAAAAATCACATTACTCGATTGCTCAGAGCTTTCATTAATCCTACTATTTATTGAATGCTGACTACCTACTAGTATTTAACCTGAAAACAACCCTATTAGGGGGTTATTAACACCCACATTTCACAGATGAGGAAGTCAGTGTTCACAGAGGTTAACTAACTTGGCTTGAGGCCACACATCTAGTAACTGGCAGAACCAGAATGTCAAACGCCTTCCTTTAGCGTTCAGAATCGTTTTCTGTAACTTTTCAGGCTTCTTTAACCTTACCTCCCAGTACTTCCTGTGTGATAAAGACAATGTTCATACTGTTTTTGGTGTTTATAAAGTACTTCCACATGCCTTCTGTTCCAGCCAAACTGCCTTGGTTGCCTCCTTGCCTTTGCTGTCGAGTTTTGTCTCAGTTGCTCTCCCCCATCCATTTCACAATCTTGCACATTCTTCGAGGTCCAGCTCATCTCCTCCGTTTCCAAACTATAATCACCCAGATTGCCTTTGAGCCCTGTGCAGCTTTCAGTTTGTGACCCGTATGTGACGAGATCCTCAAATTCATATGCTCACCAAGCATTATCTGTCGATTAAATAATTCATATGTCAGACAGATAATATTTGTCTGTCTTTTTCAAAAGTGTAAAAGTTTCTCTTTTTCTCATTAATATTCTTAGAAAAAAGTGTGTGGCAGAGGTCTCTGGTTCCCCAAAGTCCATTCTACCATTTTCCATAATACATACTAGACACATGGCTCTCCGGAATAAAGACTACATTTTCTAGCCTCCTTTGCAACTAAATTTAACCAAATTCTGACTAATAGACTGTAAGCAGAAGTGTTGTGTCCTATTTCTGGAAACCTGATGTTTACAAAGATTAAATAACTAACCCAGAGGTCACACAGCTAGTGGCTGGTTGAGCCACAGTTAGAACTTGGGTCGTTGTGCTTCTAACATTTAGGTAAGCGTAAAGGGAAAGAACATACTCTTTTTCTTTTTTCCTGTTGGCTGGAATGAGGATGTGATCCTGGAGCTCATCCCTGAGTCATCTTGGATCATGAGGTAGAAGTGGTATCTGGAGGATGTCAGAGTCACAAGATCAAAGGGCCCTGGGCTCCGGATACGTTGGGAAGCCACAATGCCAGTTCTGAACTGCTTATAATTATGTGAGAAATAACTTCTATTTTATGTAAGTAGTGTTGTTTTGGTTTTCCATTGTTGTCAGTATAATCCTATGTTAATATAAAGTGCTTCCATATTCATAGGAACTTTTTTCGTATTGCATTTTCTCACTCAGTGATCTAAAATCCACAGTGCTATATGGATGTCTGCAAAATACTTAACCTTTATGTCGGGTCTTAATCTTCAAAGGAGAGAATAACATTTAGGATAAATCATTTGTTGTCAGGGACACATTGCCTTGTATAATTTTAACTTTTTGTTTATAAATTTTGCAATTTCTTAACAAAATTGTGAGCTCCTATAGAGTACACCTTAATATTCCCTTTAGTAAGTAGCATGATTCCCAGAATATGTTATTAGATGATTAATAATCCATTTTGGTTGATGGATATTTTCATAGATAACAATTAATATAATTTGCTTCACTTATAATTAAATTTTTTGCAAAGCTTAATTTGATACATAGTCTGTATTTCCTGAGTATTTCTCTCTTGACTTTTTTTTCTACTTTAGTGTCTTTATTAACTTTGTATTTGATTGGTCTTTGATAATTCTCTTAGGAAAAATGTACACCAAAAACTTAAATATTTGATTATCTCATTAGTTCCTTTGGGGGTATATTTTTAACTACATAAGCAATATATAAATACATTCTTACAAATAATTCAAATAATAAAAGTGATAAAGTGAATGCTTCTCCTTATTACTTCCCTAAATCTCAGCCTCTCTTTTGTATTCCATAAAAACTGAAATATAAATCTATCATAGCAAAAATAGTGGAGTTCAGACTGCTTTATGATACATTGGGATTTGATTGTATGTTAGATATACACTGAAAAAAGTTTAAAGTGACAGTGACTCCTAAAATTCTTTTTAACTTTAAAACAGAAGTTAGTGTTAAAGATGTGAGTACTTGACTCTTAAATCCAAAATAATCATATTTTTTGTTGTGCCTTAAAAATTGAAACTACACATATAGATACGCCATGCTTCAAAATAGTCTTGGTAGAGTAAAAATTTTGTAATATAATATCTTGTTAAAGATTTTCAGATATATAAAACCCACAGTTTCAGCTTTTCTTTTTCAACCACAGTTTCAAGTTAAAAAACAGACGACATTTAAAAAAAAAAGAAAAAAATTTTCTAAAGCAGATGCCCTTTATTTTTACCATCAAATTGAGACTGTAGTTTCAAGCAGTATTTTCTGTATTTTCCTTGTTAAAAATCGTATTTTTTGAGCTAATCGCTAGTCTGTTCAGATTCATATTCTGTTATTTGTATAGGTTGAATGGAATTGTTATAAACACAGCATTTCCAAAGCATGAGGATATTATTATTATTCTAACCTAGTATGCAAATATTTTCTCACATTATGTAGGTTGTCTTTTCACTTTCTTAGTAGGGTCCCTTTAATTCATAAAAGTTTTTAATTTTTATGAAGTCCCATTTATTTATTTTTTCTTTTGTTGCTCATGCTTTACATGTTGTATTTAGGAATATATTGCCAAATCCAAGGTCATGAAGATTTATCCTTATGTTTTCTTCAAAGTAGTTTATAGTTTTAGCCCTTATGTTAGGTCTTTGATCCATTTTGAGCTAATTTTTGTGTATGTTATAAGGAAAAGGTCCAACTTCATTCTTTTAAATGTGGGTATCTAGTTTTCCTAGCACTGTTTGTTGAAAAGAGCTTCCTTTCTCCACTGAATGGTCTTGGCACCCTGGTTGAAAATTGTTTGACCATGTATGAGAGGATTTATTTCTGGTCTCTATTCTATACATCTGTCTTTATGGCAGTACCACATTGTTTTGATTACTGTAGTTTTGTAGGAAGCTTTGAAATCACAATATGTGAATCCTTCAATTTTTGTTCTTTTTCAATATTGTTTTGGCTATTCCAGGTCCCTTGAAATTCCATATGAATTTTAGAATGGGTTTTTCATTTCAGCCAAAAAAAAAAAAAGAAAAGAAAAGGAATGAGGAATTGGGATTTGGGTGGAGACTGTATTACATCTGTAGATTGCTTTGGTAGTATTGTCATCTTAATAGCATGGGCTTTCAATCCATAAACATGGCATATCTTTCCATTTATTTATATCTTCTCTGATTTCTTTCAGCAATTTTTTTAGTTTCAGTGTACAAGTCTGGCTCCTTGGTTATTATTCTTTTCTCTGCTACTGTAAATGGAATTATTTTCTTAGTTTCCTTTTTGAATATATGTAACTTTTTCATGTTAGGTTTTATGCTTGAAGTGCCTATGTGAAATTCCTAATCAAGACTTTTTAATGTTGATCTTTTACTATTTTTGATTAGTCTCTATTGGTGAGAAATGATAGCTCCCAACAAATAATAACATTTTTGTACTATCTTTATAACCATTCACAATTTCAATAGTTGAAATTAAAATTTAAATTTAGCAGTACTTCCTTTTTTTATGACAAATATAATGTTAAAAATTCTTACAATAAACAAATTTAGAAGTCAGTTAAATATTTCAGTTATTTTAAAATAATTATGAAACTCTACAGTTGCAGCATATACATACATTTTTCAAGTGATCACTTTATGTCTAGCTTGTATATTACTACAGGAATCCGTCAGTTGCCAACAGACAGAAATACCTGGTATAAGTGAAGGTGAAGATTTGGGGCCATCATCTGTAGTCTTGCAGGATCTACCTCCCCTTTCCTCCAAGCTGTCAGCATCTTCAGCTATGAACTATTTTCTTGGACATCTCAAACAGAAACTTCCCCAGCAGCTTCACAGGGCAGTGGTACACTTTGCAGCTAGCTAATAAATTCATGTCCAGGGGCTTGGGCAACTCCTTGGCTGTGCTCAGTATCTGGGTGTGGGATGTGGCTCATAAATCACCGTCTCCAGGGCAGGGAGTTGGATCTCAGGAGTCCCAAACAAGGCTGCTCACAACTGCAATCCTGGAAGCACCAGCCATCCCTGACTCTGCCTGTTTGACATGAGGGCTGAAGAGTTCTACTTTCACTTGACCCATTGAATTCCGTTGTCTGCACACCACTATTTATCATTGCATACCTGGTAGAAAGCTCTGGTATAATGATTGGCTTGTTTAGAAAGGAGAAAAGATAGAATTTATATGTGGTTTAGGAAGAAAAAGCAAAAAAGAGGTCCATCCTGATAGGTAAAATTTTGGAAATATGATCGATCTATCCTATCTCCTGATCGATGATAGCATCCCCAATCTAAAGTGTGTCAGTTTAGGATTCTGCATAGGAAATTAGATGAATGGCTTTGGTTTAATGTGTGAATGGCTTGAAAGGAAGTTGGAAATTTGGATTATTTTTCTACTGTGCCATTAGCCAACTGTGATCACCATTACTATGTTTTGCATTCCATCCTCTCTTTCTTTCTTTACACTGTATTGCCTGTCATGTGTATGTCTGTCATTCTGTATTTCTAAATACAGAATTCGAAGTTATTTGAAATCCATTTCAAATGCCGTTTTCCCCACTTGAGTCTTTTCTGATTCCTCTTACCAAGTAATATCTTTGCCTCCTTCAGGAGAAAATTTTTATGTTGTAATTTTCTCTTGGCATGTATTATATTCTTTCTTGGATGATGGCTTTTATCTGTATTTACCCCATTTCCTCTTGTTTAGAAGATCTTCTTTGTATATCTTGCATCTTTTAGGGTTGTGAAGAAATTGTAGTTGATCTCATTTGAGGGTCCAGCAAAATGAGTTTTTAAACAATGAAAAATTTTACCTATAAAAATTAGCAGACACATATAAACTATTTCGTTTAACCCTCTTTCAGGAAGAAATTTGAGAAGTTTGGACTAAAAATGGAAAAGATGACTTCACTTTCACAGATGGCACACCTGTAATACATGAAAAAACTGGTTTCAAGAGCATGTTCAATTCTGAAAGACTGTTCCTACCTTCCATTGCATCATTCAGCAGAGAATCTGTGTTGCAAACTTTGCAATCAGGTTCATGGAATGATGTAATGGAGGAATTGATTGTAACTCAGTTTTCTTCTTGATTGTACCGCTAACCATCAGCAGTTTATTGGTTATTTGGAAGATGTTAAAGCTGAATGTGGAGACTTAGTTCATTTTACTACAGCCAAATGACTGGATTGTGGAAATATACTGAGAGTAACTGGGCTGCTTCTGCAGATCAAGGCTTTAAACTTATTTTTCTTTTTACCTAAGAGGTTTTGAGAATAAAGGATATATCAGATCCTCGTAGGTTCACAAGACTTTGTTACTGATGTGGCAAGATATCTGAACACATCAGACTAGAGACTGCAGCAGGAAAATATGCTCACTTACTTAGAGACGTGCAGGCCTTCTCATTAAAGGGTGATGAGAGGATTGAGCAGATGACACTTGGAGGCTACACTTATTTCCATTGTGGATCTGACCACCCCGATACCAGCAGATACAGATGTTTAATATTGGTAGAAATTAAGATACAATTTCTGAAAAGAAATACAGAAGTTGATGGATTTGAATACTATTTTAAGGGTCCACGGTTGTAAGTGCAAACCTGAGGATGTGACTGAATGCCAAGGAAATGCCCTCTCGCTGTAGTTCTGCTTTGGGGGAACCTGAGGGAGCTGAGGGCACCCTGCTCACCAGGGAGTAAGGCAAGCTCTGCTCCAGTAGGTGTGCGGACTGTGCCTCCTGAGAACTCCTATCCGCCCATCAGGAAATGAGTTCAGAAATCAAGAATAAATGTTTAGAAACTTTATGGTAATTTGACAGAGTATGTTTATAGCTATTGAATTTAATAATAAAAAAAGTTGGGCTTGTATTATGTATATTTTTATTTCATTTTCTAGCAGTTCATTCTATGGCATTTTACAAAAGTTGTTTGTCTGAAATGAATTAGGGAAAAGACAAAACAAAACAGGTACTTCATCCCAAGTGGTTTGGAAAGCACTGAGTCTCTTAGAAGTGTGAGGCATCTGGAAATGAATACCTGAATCTGAGGATTCCCTAGAGATTCCTGGCTATGTGGCTGGCCAAATTCTAAGCAATATTTAGGTCCACCACCCATGAAATACACATTGTTTTATGGCTAAAAATTTAAAACAAAATGGCTATTTTAGAAAAACGAACACGGGACTGCCCTCCATTACAATTACTAACTTAAAATACTCACCCTTCCCATCTGTGGATTTTTGATCATGAGCCTAGTAGTGTAGAAGTTGGCCACCTTTCTTGTAACACAATGCCTTTTACCTAGGAAATCCTAAAAATGTTTTTTGAATTCAGTAGATTTCTCCTAAGAGTTAGCAGGAACTAGGTAGTTCACTAAGTGAAGTCCAGAAAATTAGAGTAGCTTTGAAAGGTAAAGCTTGAAAGATTATTATTATCCTTTTAGCCTCCACAAATGTTTTCTGCCCTGTTCTGCTTTAGGAGACCTTTGCCAATCAGAATTTTGTTTGAGAATGTATTACTAAGGTACTACTATAAAGGTAGTAGGTTTGTGAGATCCTAAGTTTGTTGTTATTGTTTTAATCAGTTGAGATTTTTAAGTAAACTAAGTCCTTAGTTTGTTGTCATTTTTAACCAGATTTTTACTAAATTGCTTGATATAAATCCTCTAAGTGATTGTTCATAACTCTGTACTGACACTGCAATTACTTAAAGAAATTACCCTGAAAATCTGTTTTCCAAAGTAGGTGTTAATATATTATAATTTCTTCCTTATATTTCACACTGTACTTCAACAAATTTTTTAAAATTGGCCAGTATAAGAAGAAAATAATCAGCCATATGGAAATAATAGCCTTATGTCATATTGTCAGCTTTCATGTTAGATTTGTGAAATTGAAATATAATTATGAATAACAAAATAAACACATGTGCTATACAACAGAGTATGCCATGAAGTACTTTTGACACAATGGAAACAATTACTAATCAGGTAAGGTGTTTTATTTGGAAGAGAGAATTCGTTCTTGGCAGTGGCTTTCCAATTTTGCCAACTTTGAAAGTGACTATGTTGGTGGATGAAATAGTTATGGAAAAAAATGTATACAATCCTTATGCTTAGAACACATGTACTGTCAAAGTTTCTTAATGCGAAAGTTAAGGAGGACCCAAGTTACGAACACTGTCTCATCCTGAAGATGAGGCAGTAGAATACTTTCTTCACTTAGTCGATCACAGTTCCGTTAGGTGATTTAAGAAATTTTTAATCTGAATCTCAACTTAACTCCATACATTGGTGCTGTCTTTACTGACTCTACCTTTTTTTTTTAATGAAATAAATATTTTTAATAAGTCCATGGGAAATTTACCACGTGTAGTATTTTGTATTTGCTGAAGTTTATTTAAGTGCTGTGCTGCGTTTCCCCTGTGTTCTGTTTTCCAGCTGAGTCCAGTAGCAAGGTCTTTTAAGAATATGCTCCATTCTATTTTCTTATTTCTTCCTTCCAGAGCTCAGAGCACCATGTTCTATTTATTAGTGGGGGTTCACCGCTGACTGGTAAAGATTTGAAGATCTACATTATAATGTATTAATATCAGAATTAGAGAATAATATTGGCATGTTTTAAAACATCTTAGTATAAGCATAATATTGTGTTTTTATATTTTTGCAGGAAAATTCTTTGGCAACAGATGATTTCCTTGTGGACTACTTAAATGAATTCCTAAGCCTTCCAGTGAGTGTATTACTGTGTTCTGTAGAGTATATTATCAAAGCAAAATATTGTAAACACTAGATTATCTTGTGAGACAGATTTATCAGCGATAATATTTTTTTAAATACTAATTAAAACATTTAGGTAAAGTTTGTGTCTTTTTTAAGGAGTTAATCATTTGGGTTTGATCATATTTAGGAATTACTCTTATTGAAGAAAACTGGGTCCGTCATACAACAATAAAAGTAAATAAAGAGAAGAAAAAGAAAGCTGGATTCTTTCTAACCATCAAAAGCATTCTGTATAAAATCTGATACAGTTGTATTTGGTACCACTTTAGGCTTTGGACAGAGGTGATAAGGACAGAATATCAAAAACTTTAAGAACGTAAATTTCTTGCCTGTAGGCAACTATTGTCATCCTGTTGGACAGATTTTAAAGTGGAATTTGTGTTTAAGGCAACTGGAGTTTTATGTCAATAGTAAATAGGCCTTGAGACACTGTGTTGGTGTAACATAGGTAGATGCCAAATAATAGATTTGTGGTCTTAGCCAGCAGTGACTGATAGAGTAAATGTTGAGGGTTTGGGAAAAGTGAAATGGGGATGCATAAAAACACTTACATTGTTGTATAGAAATAAAGTTCATTGGGAATGTCAGATGAAAGGAAGTTAGATAAGAAAAGGTTTTCATTATTGTTATGAAAATTTTTTTAATTCAAATACTTAGCAGGGAAAATTTGAAATATAAAAAAAACACAATTTTTAAAGAGAATCGACTGTAAGCTGCAAAATCTCTTAAAAGCCCAACCACTGAAAATGTTTTTGGAAAGAAAAAAACTAGATGCATTTTTTTGCCCAGATTAGTCTTTATGTATATGTATGTATCTGTGCATGTATGTGTATTTGTTTTGATTCTCTTTTACAAAAGAATTTGCTTTCTCCTCCATGCGGCACCACTGGGTCTCTGGAACCACTAGGGGGGTCTAGTAGAGACACCAAGGCACCCTCTCCCTTTCCAGCCACAGGCCTGAGCACCCCGGGAGGCTCTTTTGTGGTCTGACTCTTCAGCTTTCATCATCCAATTGTGTATTATAAAAAAACCCATCAGAGTCACCAAATTGTCAGAATGTTGCTCTTCTGGATTGTGTAGTCTTTCCTCTAGGCTCTGCATTCTCCATTCTTCCTCAACAAAAAGTACATTATTGTGAAGTTTTAAAAAGAAGAATCTATATTGAGTCTGATTTCAGCTTCTCAAGATTTATATTTATTGTCTCAGGAGTTGATTACCTTGACTTTTACTTGCTCTGGAAAATAAACCCCCGTGCTTAACTTTTTTTTTAATCGCTTATGGAAATCTTATAACAATAGTATAGAAAATTAACCTCAAATGTAAGGAAAATTCAGCCATAGTCTTGCCATCTAGTTAGAATAGACGTTACCTTTTTTTTTTTTTTGTATGTTTTCTTTCAGGCTTTAGGTGAAATGACAGAATGTGGTTTCTGTTAACTCTGTGCGATAATGTTTTTCATCCCTCTCCAGCAGACACCTGCAGTTTGGCCTGTTCATACGTCCCATGCAGCCCACCTGGGCCACTTCTCCCTCTTTTCTGTGTCTTCACATCCTTCTGCTTTTACATTCTCTCTGCCTGTCTGTCTGTCTCCTTAGCTTCTACATTTGGTACCACCACAACGACTTATTAACTACCTATACTTCATACCACAAGATGGAAGAAGGGGAAATGTCACAGGTTTTCAAAAAGAATTTAGGGGCAGGGAGGAGAAGGAATGATGGATTCTCACACCAAGTTCCTGGCAAGATTCTAGAACAGATTAGTAGTGTTTGGTTTATGAGCACTTAACTAAGAATTAGAAGCCAGCGTGGGTTTACTGAGAATTAGTGAGCCAAACTAATTTCTCTCTCTCTCTTTTTTGGATAGTTATGGACTGGTACTTCAGGGAACCATAAATTTAATTTATTATGATTTCAGTAAATAATAGTACTGATGATAAATTGAATCATGTTACTTCCTGCTCAAAACTTTGTCTAGTGGCTTCTCATTAAACTAAGGCTAAAATTCCAAATCTTGTATGATCTGGCTCTTGCCGTCTGTTGGTCTTTACTTCCTATGCTTCTTCCCCTTGTTAATGCTTTTCCAGCCTGGCTGGGAGACTTGGCCTTCATTGTGTTTTTCAAACATGAATATGCCAGGTGTGCTCAGGGCTTTCCAGCCTGGAGTGCTCTTCCCTGAGATACTTGTTTCACTTTCTCCCTGATTTAAATCACTTCTGTTCAGAAAGCCTTCCCTCCCAACCCTGTGTAAAACAATACACACAACACTGCTCCACTTACGCTGCTTTATTTGTTTCCAGAGCCACATCATTATCATTATCTGTGAAATTACTAACCGTAGCTACTAGGGGTTGACTCTTCGCCAACAATTGAAGTCCAAATTCCTTAACATGGACCCTTTGCCATTTGTCCTCAATCTAACCTTCCCAACATTATCTCTAGCTTCATGCTACTTGTGTCTCCCTGAGCACCCTTTCCTGCCTCCCCTCACCCTCCTCGACCACACACGTTCTTCCTGTGCTTCTCTCCCGGTGCGGTGGTTGGAACAGGAACAGGAGGGAGACAGAACTGTTTGAGCTCAGCTCCTCTACTTATTACCCACGTGATCGTAGGCACATCCCTTAATCACTTAATTCCTCGATTCCTTTCTATGTGAAGACAATGTAACTATCCTACAGGATTGTTATGAAATGAGGTAACAGTATACTAAGTGTCTGGCACAGAATTCGTGCTTCTCTTTCTTTCCTTCATTAACTAAACCATCTCCTCTTCCATACCTGAACATGAGGGGCAGTCACTCTTTAATTGGACTGATGGGTCATTGTCATTCTAGAGAATAATTTTTGCTACATTGGCTTTGGCTTTTAAAAATTGTTTTTTATCAGAGACTTGAATGAAACATTGTAAATGAACTAGTGTTTTTCCAGCTTGAGGTCACTCAGCTAGTAAATGACATGGTCCACCCAGGTCCACATGATTCCAAAACTTGTCCTACCACACTGTAATGCCTATAGAACTGGGAGCCAGGGAGCAAACTGATAGTTTGGATAACAGAGTCTGGTCTCATTTTTATCATGGTAGCCTGAAATGGGCTAGAACAAACAACGCTAATATGTTTTTAGGATGCATTAATAGAAGTATAGTTAAGATCAAGAAAAATATTAGTCTGGAGCTTAGAAGGCACTCAATAAATGTTTTTCTGAATTGGATCGAACCGTCAGACCACATTTGGAATATTGTGTTGCACCGCACGTTAAGAGTTGCTCTGCCAGACCAGGCTCAGGAAGGCTCAGCCGATGAATGCTCGGGAAACCATGTCGGATGAGTAAGGGTGGAAGGAAGTGTGGGTGCTGAACCTGCCTTGGGAATGGTCAGCCCTTTCCAAATATTTGACGATCTGACAGAGGAAGAAGGGTTAACACATTCTGTGAAGCTAGAGGGCAGAACCAGGGCCAGCA